TCAAATATATCAATAACAAAAAAACCATAGTTATCAATTTCTCCGCCTCTCAACTTTGTCGTCGTCATCTCTTCCGACATCGCCGTCTCTTCTTGACGTCGACGTCGCCGTCGCCAGAAAAAAAAAACTCAAAAGCTGAAGAAACGAGCATCAATCAGAAGTTTTGTTCTCTGTTCTCTGAATCTGATATATATATATATATATATATAACTTCTCTCACTTGTATTTTGGTTTTGATTTCTTCAAACTAAAAAGGAATGAAGAAGAAGAAGACAAATGACCTAAACAAACCTAAGAGACCGCAAGTGCTTTCTTCATTTTATTGTAAATTTCACAATCTCTTCAATTTCATATTATTGTCTCTATTTTCACAATTTCAACTGATTAATCTTCATCTTAGATTATTTCTAATGGGAATTTAATGAGAGGCATAACAACAAGTCATTCACTGCTATAAGTAACTTCTTGAGGTTCCACAATCTCAAAACTGTGAATAACATCAGGTTGGTAAGGTTGCTGGAGCTAAATGAAAGTCTATGACTAAGGAAGTGAATACTCTGCCGTTGAAAAGGGTTCATCTTTGTTGATTGAGCTAAACAAACCTACAACTTTTTTGATTGTTTGAATTTGTACCACAGAGGAAAGCGTCTTAAGCTTCCAAGGCAAAGAGCAAAAAGAGTAAATATGTTAAGAGTATGTAAAAATGCAACATAAAACTGGTAATAAAAATCTCAGCTTTGACCTTCTAAAGGGAAATAGATTGTGTGTATTCTTATGGTCTTTTTACTGTAAACTTAAGAGACCTCAAGTGCTCTTTGTTATTCCAGAATCAACTTGTCTTGGTTGAAAATTAATCTATGCCTCTATCTGTTTATCATGTTTTTTAGTTTGATCTTTTTTTTTTTTTCATTTGAATTAGACACGGATTTTGATTTTAGAGTTCATATATTTGTCTTATCTCGTCATGAGTTGTGATTTTAGAGTTTTTTCCCATGTCATCTCTATGTCATTTATATGAATAAACAAATGTTTGCTTTTAACAGTAAGTACTGTGTTTTAGCCATTAGGCTATGGTGGATCCTTGATTGTATCTGAACAAAAACATGGTTTATTAACAGCTACATGAATCAAGGAAAAACCTGCAAATTTCTAATATATATTTAGGAAAGCTTTCCTGAACAATTTAAGAAAGAAGAAAATCATAAAAAAATCACACAAAAGAGGTGAGAAACAATGTATTTGTTGTTCTCCTTGCACAGTATGACCAGCTACTTTGTTGGTTTGTGGAATCCCTATACGAACATGATATAATTTTCAAATAGAATTCAAGGGAACTAAAGAAGCACAAGTGCCAAAAGCTGACTTGTTCTAGCTAAATTGAATCGGGAAGAACTTGTAAATTTTGATTTTTTTAGAAGGTTTAGTACATAATTATGAACGCTATCATAAATACTCTGAGAAAGTAGAAATTCATACAAAAACCACATATAGAAACCCAAAATGATTAAAACACACAAAGTCGGCTTACTACATTGGTACATATCACACCACTCCATTTTTACGTTTAGTATCATCATTTAACTACAAAAGCACATTTATTATATAAAACTTGTAAAATTCGAGTTCTTTTGGAAGGAGTAGTACATATTTAGGAAAGCTATCAGGTACAGTCTAAGAAAAAACAATTATACAATACCCATACGAAAGAAATTTGGACAATGATGTATTTGTTGTTCTCATTGCATCTAACCAAGTACACAAATTTTATCGCAGCTACATGTCCTTTCAAAGAAATGATACTGATTTCAACTTGCATAGACTTCCTGTGTTGCTGCAACCTGATAAGAGCACCATCATATCAGATGATATGGTCTTTTATCCATGGTAACCAGAACCGTAATGTACAATCCAGATGGTCTCGTTCTCTGTAAACTCTTAAAGATACCATCAATCATGACCTCAAAATCGCCTCAGCAATTGTATTTACCACCTGATCTTGTCCCACAGCCTCCTTATTAAATCTATACGCAAGGCCAATCAATCTTTTTTTGTTCTGGTTAATGCTTGTCACTGAAATCTCTGTGGATTGTCTTCCTGATTTGGTTTTGAAGATGAATTCCCAGCATATGAGCAGCTTCTCTTGCTTAGCGTCTAGCTGCTCTCTCTTTCCCCTTACAAAAATGTTCACTTTATACTTGAAAGTTCAGTCCTTTTGATACTTCCTCTGATTCATCTTACAACACCTTAGAAACATTTGATCAAACAAACTGGTGTGCAATGAAATCAGCAATTTCAAATGACTTTAGAATCAACTCTTCCACCATTTCCACATCTAGAATGAAACCTTATACTAATTTTGGAGCAAACCAAACACCAGAATAGCGTGAATCATTGACTAGAAGCTGTGAGCTATTGTTCTAAAGCAACATAGACTGACGTTCATCTACTCTAAGGCTTGGTCCAAAGAAAATATTAATATCTTTTTTTCAAACTCCTCAAGCCGATGAACAGAATCTGCTTAAACATTTTTGTTTTAATCCATCTCAGGAATCGAATCCCTTGCATCTACTTCAAGTGACTCAACATCTTGCTTCAGACTGATGTATGATTTTTTTTTTTGTCATCGATTCGTTTATGCTCGTCTCTACAATTGAATGAGTCACTTTATGTTAGCAATAAAAGCTCATACATTTCACCTCTCACTGTGCAAGAACGATCCAATGAATTCACACATGTCCGCCACTTTCGTTTCGATCTTGGCCATTATAAGAGCGAATTTTGCAAAGAAGATGGTGAGTTTGGCGTAGCTCTAACGATCGCGTCCGGTTAACGATGAAGATGGCGGAGTTCAGCATAGCTGAGAGACAACACAACCGAGTGTCGGAGGAGCTGATGACGACGAAGTTGATGAGGACATAGCTGATAACAACGGAGCTGATCTAATCCCTCAAAGGTAAAAGAGACGGTATGAGATCTCAATTTCTTTCTTGTTTAAAAATAATATATAATTAGGTAATAAGCTGAGGGACGTTATGGTAATTCACCCTCTTTAATGAAACCTATTTAGGTGATTTTGAGTCTTGAGTGCTATTTTGGTAGAAAAACTTGATTTAGGGTTATTTGAGACCATTTCTCAATTTATTTTATTTTATTTATATGAATCTATTTTCAGATTATTACAAAACTAATTTTAATAACATAACTAAAGTATCTTGATGAATTAAAAATATTGTTTTAACTATTGAGATGTTTATTCATTTTTCGCACAATTTATTTTTGTAAAAATTGAATTTTATTTAATTTTTCTATAAAATATAATCAAACCTTTATACCACTAAAACTTTTTAAGGCTTAATATATTTATTTTATCTTACTTATACATCATATTACATCCATTATAAGAATATATAAACCAATATAAACTTTTTTGGTTGTGATTATTTTGAATATTTTAAATTTATATTTGATACATCTAATGTATAAAGTTACTTAAAATAAAAAAAATCAAGATTTATAATTATTATATATGTTCATGAGTTACAAAATTTTCATCGGTAATGTTCGTTTATATAACTTCGTAATTATCACCACTTTGGTTTTATATTATTCTTACAAATCCAAAAATATCATTTTTTAAAAAAAATAGGAAATTAAATATACATATTAAAGAAATACCAAACTAATGGAATAAATAAATTTAATCAAATTTAGCTTAAATAGAATCAAAATAGATATATTCAGATTTCAAAAAATATGTGTAACTCAGTATAACTCACAAAAAGAGTAATTTAAACAATTTTAAATTCTTATAACATGATCGAAAGTCTGAATGCAAGAAACAAAATTAATCAAAATTCTAATCTATTTCAACCAAAATAAAATATTATGGTAAAACATGGAGAAATAAATGCAATTCAAAATATCCAAGTAATAACTAAACTGGCTTGATATTATATATCAAAATTACATGTGTAATTAAAATAAAAATATTAATAATGTTATAATATAACTATTTTATAAATGTTTATATTCGTGCATGAGTATGGAAAAATCATCTAGTAATATCTTAAAAGCCATTATGTTCTATCAACCTAATATCAAACATAACTAGTGAATATGAATTCCAAATTGGGTTCAAACCACCTCAACATGTATCTAGATATGAACATATCCTAAGACAAGAAACAA